TTGTATGTGTCTTGTTTTTCTCCAGCAGCTTTCAGCACACTCTATTTGTTCTATACATTAGTGTTTTTACTATGATATGTTGTGGGGAGTTTCTGTTTTGACGCTGTCTAATTGGTGTTCTATGTACTTCTTGTATTTGTGTAGGTCTTTCCTGAATTTGGGGATGTTTTCTTTTATAATCCTGTTGAAGATCTGGTTAATACAATTGACTTGAAATTCTTTTCCTTTCTGTATGTCTATGATGTGTAGATTTGGTCTATTCATGGTATCTCATATTTCCTGCATATTCCATTCCTGTGTTTTTTAACATTTTTAAAAAAATAGTCTTTGCTGCCATGTGTGGTAGCACATGCCTTTAATCCCAGCACTAGGGAGGCAGGGGCAGGTGGATCTCTGTGAGTTCAAAGCCTGCCTGGTCTACATAGTAAGTACCAGGACAGTTGGGGCTACAGGGAGATCCTGTCTCAAAATGACCAAAAACAAAAACAAAAACAAAAAAAAACCAACCTTAGGAGTCCAGTTCTTCCACTTTGTCATCCAGCCTTGATATTTTATCTCTCTCTCTCTCTCTCTCTCTCTCTCTCTCTCTCTCTCTCTCCCCCAGCTGTCCTGGAACTCACTATGTAGACCAGGCAGGCCTTGAACTCACAGAGATCCACCTGCCCCTGCCTCCCTAGTGCTGGGATTAAAGGTGTGTGCTACCATGCCCGGCTTTTATTTTATCTCTTTTATGAATTGACTTTTCAAGTCCTGAATTTTTTGTTATTTCATTCAGCCACATATTTATATTTTCTTGAGTCTCTGTCACAAGTTTCTGCCAATCATCTTTTTTTTGAGTTGTTTGTGTATTCTTTAGGTTCTTTGATTGTACTTATGATTGTTCTTTTAAATTCTGCATTGGGAGGTTCATCAGGGTGGTTCTCATTGTAGTACACTTCTGTAGGGCTGGTGGGCTTTGTGGGGGGGATGTATTCCCTTGTTTTTTTTTTCATATTATTTGTGTTTTTGTGCTGCTGTTTGGGCATTTGGATGTCTGGGTAGTAGGCAAGTCTGTGGCAGGCAGATGCGGGGGCAAGGGCACATAGTGGGGGTGTGTGACAGCCTGTGGAGGGTCTAATAGACAAAGATGACAAGTTGAGTTAGTCTGGATGCAGGGGATCAGGACTCAGTGGATAGGTCAGGGTGAAGAGGGTAATAATCCACCAATCTGGGGAAGAAAGAGCAAAAGCTGGGCTGGGCCCAAGGCTAGAAGGGGGACTGGGTTTTTGGGAGAGGGTAGAGCTGCTCAGACTACAGGGGGAATCAAGGCACAGTGAGTAGGGTCACTGACTTGCCAAGATAGAAGGCTGTTTTCTGGACCCCAAGGGCAAAGTGGTGATGGTGGGGACAGCCTGTGGAGGGCCTAACAAACTAGACTGAAAAATTGAGCTGGTCTGAATGCAGTGGGAGGATCTGGACTAAGAGGGTAGTCCAGAGATCTGGGGTGGAAGGAGAAAAACTGGTTCTGGGCCCAAGGCTAGAAGGGGGACCAGGTGATGGCGAGAGGCAAAAATACTTTAAAAGTGTTCAGCATCCTTAATCACTAGGGAAATACAAATTAAAACCTGTCTGCTTTTATATAGTGCTGGGACTCAAACTCAGGGCAGGCTCTCAACTAAGCTACATCTTCAGACCATATTCTCAGCTCTTTCAAGGGAGAAAATTTTGTTTCCCTCACTGCTAAAGTGAAATGTAAGTAGCAAAAAGAAAGAAGTAGAGGATATCTGAAAGAAGAGTGCTTTGGCAAAATAGCAAGGCCTTGAGGTTGCAGAGTCCCTGATGAATTTGAGAAAAATAAAAAGGACTGTGGTTGGAGTAGGTTAAGCAAGAGAAGAAGTGTAAGAGCCTGTATCAAAGTGGGTGTGTTGGGGCATGCCCTTAATCCTAGCATCTGGGTTGCTGAGGCTGGAGGTCAGGAGTTCCAGATCTAAGCTACATAGTAAGTTTAAGGCTGGCTGGGAAACAGCAAATTTGAGGTCCACCTGGCTTGCACAATAAGTAGAAGTGATTTAGAAGTGATTGCCTTTATGATGACAAATTTAGAAGAAAACACTGTCCTGGAAGCTGTGATGAGCTGGATTTGACTCATTCCTGCTTGTGAGAGTTGATGGTTAAATGTTCAGCAAATTTATAAGCTAGTTGTTAAATAGCTGTTTGAAATGACCCATAACCTTAAATCAAAAGAATTATACTAGAAATACAAACACCTCATTTAGCTCATCAATTCCTAATTATTTTTAATTGTGAGATTCTCTCTATGCTTCATGTTCCATCCATTGAGTTCATATGATGGAAAATCTATATAATGACATTTTGTACATCTCTTCCCAGGTCTGTATTTAGTGATGACATGTTGGCAGATTGAAGTTGGCTGTGGTGGTAATATTTATGCCTTGAAGATTGCAAGTGCAATAAATTGGGGCTTGATTTATTTAAAATGATAAGGAAAATACTAACAATGTAAATGAAAGTCAAAGCATATTACCTGCAGCTGTTGTATGTAGTACTCAAAAATTATCTGACTCATCAACAATCACATAATGAAAAATTGAGATCATCATTTATGATTAATTTTGATTAATGAGTAATTGATGTGTAAAAAATTGGCCAACTTTCAACTTTCTATCACTGCAACAAATACCTGAGATAAATCAATTTAGAAAGAGGAGAAGCTATTTGGGTTCACAGTTTCAGAGGTTTCAGCCCACAGCTCCATGGCTTGTTGCTTTGGGCCATGGTGGTTTAGTGTACCATGGGGAAATCACGTGGTCTAGGTTTCTTTACCTCATGGCACATGAAAAGTGAAGAAAAGTGAGGAGAGTGGGGTCCCAGTGTCCAATGAAAGGCATGGCCGTAATGACTTAGTTTCTTCCAACTAGATCCTACCTCTTAAAGGTCCCGTCACCACCCAACAGTGCCATGGCATGATGACCAAGCCTTTAGCACAGGGGTCTTTAGGTAATGCTTCAGATCTAAACTATAGAGCCCATATTTATGTTATAATTACTCCATCAATTCCAGACCTAAGTTGCCTATGATTACAAAAAGTTAAAAAAATTCGTGAGAATCGACTAACAAAATTTATTGTAAAAATTAGACATCTTATCCTCACATTTGTAAATTTATAATAAAGCCATATATGTGTGTAGGTACACACATTTTCCTTTTTACCTGGAGAACCCGTTAAACATTTACCATCACACTGCTGCTTAGAGGTCTAGTGGTGAAGTGTTTTCAGGAGTGCAGCAGTATGAAAGGCTACTGATGGGTCAAGAACTGAACCAAGAATTGACCACTGGCTTTGTTAATATGGAGATGAGAGGTGACATTGATAAGAGTTATTGAGTGAAACTATAGGAAGGTCTGGTTAGAATAGTATCCAATGAAAATGAAAGGAAATGAAGCAGAGGCAATAAATATTTGAAGTTTTTTTTTCTGTAAAGTAGAACAGGCAAATGGGAATTGTAGGTAGTTATAGAAAAGGGAAGAATCAAGGTATATTTTAAAAAGCCACTGATATTTTAGTTTATTTTCATGCTTATGCGAATGATTGAAAGAATAAGAAAAATGATAATGGAACAACATCCTGGATTAAGAGAGAGTCTAAATTCCATCTCTAGTAGAGGGCTTTGCTTTTTAGAGAAGCACAGCATTTCATCCATAGTGATAGACAGGCCAAAATATGGGAACAGTTTCAGCTACGTCAGTGTATGCTGTCTTTGGATTTTTGTTAAAACATTAAGTGCCGTCAACTGAGAAAGATTGTGGGGAATAAGAATTGAAGCTCAGGAGAAAGTAATGTTTCATGTAGGAAAAAAAGTATAGAAAAAAAGTGCTTAGTAGATATAACCTATTATTATATTTCAGCATATTTGTTAACGTGGGAGGTTGGAGGAGAAATTGAGCCTTTAAAATTTAAGGACAAATTTTACCCATTACCTGCAAAAAGTGTTGCTCCGGTGGCATCTGAAGCTGTTTGGTTTTTTTAGAGATGAGGATAATATCCATGACATTTTACTGTATATTACATGGAATATGCTAAGAATGCCTATAATACATGTATGCAGAAACTGGTGGAAAAGGGGGAAGTTGTGATTAATTTTAAGCATCAGAGTTACTTTATGAAAGAGTAAGCATCTGAATGAGTCCCAAATTAAGGGAAGGTAGGTTTTCAGTTGACTTATCAGTTGCTTTCTATGTACTAGACATTGTGCTAAGGACTATTATACATGGTTTAATTTATTACTAATACATGTGAGAAAACCGAAGCTCTGAGAGGTTAAGTAACATGTTTCCGGTTATACATAGCTGCTAAGTAGGTATCAGATCCAGATCTAGCGGTCAACAAACAACTAGTTTCAATATAGAACACTGATTCTTGGGAGAGAGAGTGATGTTAGGTAGAATTTCTTAGTACAGAGGGTAATAAGAACCAAGACAAACAGAGAGGTGAAAACACAGAGTAAGGGTGTGCATACATGTAGAGGGACATGGAAAGGAAAAGTGAGTAGTGGTGTGGCTGGGGTACTGTGTTTGAAGGTGGTGGAGCGCAAAGTGTGAAATAAGGCTGAAATGTGGGTTATGAATTTGTTGTGGGGATGAGGCCTCAAATATGTTAAGAATCTGATATTATTTTGCAAGTGGTCATAGAGAATTTTTGGGGTTGTTTTTTGGACAAAAGGAATCATGTTATGTGAACATGTGGCCAGCAGTATATTTTTGTCGTGTTGTTTCACAGTTGCAGATTCTTTTGGAAGATAAGACTATAAGGAAACAAAAGTGAGTTATTGGAATTGAGCTTCGAATATAACTATCAGTTTTATGTGGTAATTCATGGGGTGTATTATCATTTTCTAAATCGTTTGTGTCATGAAATTAGGAACACAGCTAAAGAATAGATGAATTTAGTTTATGGTTTTTCTAGGACCATATGGTAGAATTAAAAAAATATGTTTTTTCAGATACTGACCGAGCTTTGTTATTACTGGAAGAATACTGCCAAAAATTAAGAAAACCAGAGGAGCAACTGCTGAAAAATGCTGTGAAAAAGGTCATGAGTATTTTTAAGAGCAGCTTATTTCAAGCTTTGCTGGGTATGTATTCCAAAAATCATTTGTAGTCTCAATGGTCAGATTTGGACTTAACAGGTTGAATACTGTCATAGATCCTGATGTCAACTAAGTTTCAAATTGGGTAATTTTCCTTATTACTCGAAAGGAAAGATGATTTCTTTCCTTATTCTTACTCAACGTTTAACTTAAAAAGCAATTGTTATAAAATAGAAGTGAGGAATAGGTTATTGAAAAATACCAATATTAGAATATTTTATATAGAAAACATTTACATAGATTAAAAACTGAATAGTTTGTTGTGAAAATTTGAGGGTGGGGGCTAGACATAGGGCTCGTGGTTAAGAGCACTGGCTGCTCTTATTGCGGACCCTGGTTCAGTTCCCACATGGGCAGCTAACAATCATCCGTAACTCCAGTTCCAAGGATCCAGGGCCCTCTTCTGGCCTATCTGGACATTCCGCACACATGGTGTACTTACATACATGCAAGCAAAACATTCATACACACAAAATAAAATTAAGTAAAAATTGGAAAAATGTTGAGGATGGACAGAAAAGTTATTTTTCTCTAGGGAATGAATTTTCTAACACAAACTAGTGGGTCACATTCTGCTCATAAGGAGAGTTCTGCTTTCATTCTCAGAAAAATTAAAGAGAATTTGTCTTCATTTTTACTTCTATTAGGAAAATTTAGGTTTAGAATTAAAAAAAATATATTGGTGAAAAATTTTATGCCTATCAATGTCATGAATTTAACTAATTTAAACCTCTTGTTTAAAGACCATGAAGAAAATAAAGGCTATGATTTATTTATTTATAGCTTTACACATGCATGTTTTACCTTTATTTAGATAACTTTTAATTGTTTTCTTTAAGACATTTTAAGAGGACAAAATAACTAGCATTTGGTATAAATAAATATTCCCCTCAACAAAAATAACAAATATCACATTAAAAATTCCATTCAATAAAGTATGCTTAATTTAATATAATCATCTGATTATTTACTTGCAGTGGTAAGAATTGAGCTCAGCACTTTTCAGTGGTAGGAGTTGAGCTCAGCACTTTGCATTGGCAGGAATTGAGCTCAGCACTTGGTATATGTTAGGCTGTAGCATAATGCATTTTAAAAAGAAATAACTAGAAATATACTAGATACTTCCATTGCTTTTTAATTCTGGTGGCTATTGATAGAAAGTCTACAAAGAGGAATTTGTGAAGTTTAATCTTAAAAGGTTTTATTTATTATTTTACTTCATATGTTACTTATATCCAATTATACATATACTTATTGATAACCTCCCTAATATTATAGCTTCAGCATAATTAAAAACTCATTAAGTTTTGAAAACTTGAAAATCAATTTATTGAATGTAAATAGAAATAAACAGCTTTAAAAGATTATTTTGCTTGTGGGTTAATTTCTTTAATCTATTGTAACTGGCAAGAATTAATGACACAAGTAACTAATCGTCTTAGCTAGCATTAAATAAAAACAGCTCTAAATGGAGTCTTTCAGAATTTAAATAAACATTGTCATTAGAGGATAGTATTTTACAGAACAGTTTAAACCGCAAACTTCTGAATTAAATATTAATAGTCATTTGGTTGATGATTCACAAAGTCCATTAGGCAAATGGCAGTGTATCTAAATTGATTCTCCTGATGTGTTTAGTTAAGACTGGCTATATCTTTTGAGAGCTTGAGCTTCTGAGAGCTTGCTGTAGGAAGAGTATTGTTGGGTAATTTAAATAATTCTATGTTTTGAAAATGAAATCAGTTGATAACACCATTACCTAGAGGATAAAGAGACAAATGACTGATCAGCAACTATATTTTGCCATTAGTTTAAGTGAATGAGAAATATGTTGGCCAAGAACCTATCATATGGCTTGGATTTCTCTACTAAAATGAGAGACAGTAGTAATCTGTAAAAAGCTGTTATGTAAGTTATTCCAGTACAGGATTTGCATGAATATATTTGCTTTGGTTGGTCTTTTCAAGTCATTTTGGGATTAAACCCAAGTACGAGAAATGGAGCACTATACATAAAAACATTCTTTTAAATTGAATCTGTGTGGGTAGCAAAATATTAACAACTAATTCATTATTCATGACTTTTTCACTGTGTAATTTCTTTAAGGACTCCAAAGAAAATCATGTAGTCAAGTGTATCCTGAAGATTAATATCTTTATAAAAACATAGATAGGAAGCCATTGATAATAAGATATTGTTTATAATCTATGCTCCCCCCCCATCATGAATACCCCTTTTTCATTGTAAATAATGAAAGATTGTGGATTTATCCATTGGTCTGATATTTAATAGAAAGTGCATAGAAATAATGCTGTGAATGAATCCTCACTAATTTTATAAACAGGACTCATAGTGATGATGAGCCAACACAAATAGATAATGAAATTAAACAGTTCCTGAGGCAAGGGCTATGATATTTACACAGAACCAGGAATCCAAATCCTTTCTGTACAGATGGAAAACATTGATATAGAAATAATATCTTTTACTTTATTAATAAAAAATCACTTTATTATCATAATGACCTCCCAAATAAAAACATTAACATAGTTGGCTATGTTATCTAGCTGTGTTATGTTTTTAAAGGCTGTTTTTAGTAATTCTTCGTCATGTTCTTAAAAAAACTCCCCAAGGTAATAGCAAATTTTATCTGATTATTAAAGTAATATATGCTAATCTTGGAGATTTTTAAATGAAGAAAGTAATGAATATAAAAGTCAATGGTAAGATATTTTTTATGATAAATAAAAAATTTTTATCATTATTTTTATGACAAATAGCAGATCTGATAAGTATGGAAAGTGATAACTGTGTGATAAACTTTCTTCCTGATTGCTTCTACGGTTCCTGTATTATTAGTTTTGATTTTCATTTATCAGTAGCTCATGTGGAGTAAAATCTTTGAAAGTTATCTATCACTGTTCATTAAAATAAAACAAGAACGTGATTTACTTATGTGATTTTTATCCATACATCTTTTGCATTTATGTAGATAGCTCTTAATTATTTTCTTCATAATATTTTGAGAGAAGGATAACTATCAAAAGATATAAGTATGCAATTATTCTTCCCAGCACACTAAACATTTTCTTTAAAAAATCTTCATTTAATATAGTTTATTTTGTTTATCTACTTATCTGTTTGCAGTGCTAGGAACTTGTACCTTGTGCATGCTATTCAGTATCACAATACATATTAAAAGAAATTATGAGTCTACTGCATTTCATCATATTTTTGTGCTGGTGGTTATTGATAAAAAACTACAAAGAGGAGTTTATGGAACTTAATCTTGAAAATATTTTTATTAATGTTTTAAAATATTAATATACTTATCGATGTGTTACAATGTTATAGTTTTAACATAATTTTAAAAAGCATTACATGTAAAAAAATGAGTCAGTTTATTATTAATATATTAGAAGCTATACTTTTGGATGTTAGGCTTAGGGTGACATCTTGTGGTACTGCTAAGAAAAAAAAAATCATCCAATGGATAATCACAGTTGTATAGTAATTACAGTATCAATGCTTTCCAGAGTTTGAATGTAAGTGAATTGAAATTCCATGACGTTTTACAAACTCAGTCTTTTAACTGTACAATAGCTAAAACATTAAGATGTTCAAGCCACTGTATTAGGTCATTTATTCTTCATTTAGTTGGTAAAGAAGAAAGGTGGAATATTTATATTCCACAACCAGATCTACTTTGAAAATTTAAGTATATATATATTGCCACGATAATTATTTGTGAAAATTATTTTACTAAGATAATGGGTAGTTTATTTTCAGGTATGTAACATATTACATATACTTTGTTTTTATAACTAACAAATAGTTTATGTTATACTCTAGTCATTGTGTAATAAGAACCATATGTATATTTTTCTGATTTTTATCTCCTTGTTAAAACTTAGTTTGGTTTTTTATAATATATCACTTTCTTTCATTATATTGTATGAGAGATAATTCTTTGGAAAGCATTAGAAGATCTAGTGAACTATAATGTTTCTTGAAAAGTCTGCCAGTAGTGACAACTTAGAAAAGTACTCATCTTATTTTATGCAGACCATTAAATCTTACATTCTAGACTTTGCATTAGACTAGAATATTTTTCATTTACATAAGGAGAACCCTTTGAATGCTTGATATTATAGCGCTAGTGGTGTTGCAGTAGATTTGCACACATTAGGGTTTATCATCCTGTTGAAGCCTTCTGCCACATCCCTTCTTACCAAAAACTTTAACCAGCTCTTTTATTATGTTTTAAAGCCTTTAAAAAATATTACTGTAAAGTATCATATTGCGTTATAATAAATTCCATGTATTTCTTCCCCTTCTATAATTTGTGACTATTAATCTGTAAGACTAGGATTTGTATTTAATTAATTTTTGGGGTGACAGTATGTGAATCTTTAATAATAATAATAATAATCCTTCAATAATTTTTATTCATATAATAACCATTATTTAAAAATACTATACATTAGACATTGTTCTAGGTAAAAAACTACAACAGTGAACTATAGAGGACTTACCCTTAAGGGCGAGGGAAGGCAATTCAGAAGGGCAACAGAAACATTATATAAATAATTATTTAACTATTAAATTATAGTGATGGTTGGAACACAAAATCCATGTGTATATGTTTTACTACACTTTAATTTGAGCTTAAAAAGTATGTGAATTTCTCATTGTACCAATTGTTATTTTATTGCGTGTGTGTATGTATGAGTGTGTTTATGATAGGTATGTGTGTGTGGTGTATGTGCATACATGGAGGCCAGAGGAGGATGTAGAGTGTTCTGTCTATCACTGTCTGCCTTATGCCCTTCACACAGGGCCTCTCACTGAATCTGGAGTTATGCTGCAGCCAGAAAACCCAGCAATCCCCTGTCTCTCACAATGTTGAAGTTACAAATCCATGAAATCACTAGCATTTTATGTAGGTTCTAGGAATTTGAACTCAGGTCATCACGCTTGTGCAG